TCGTAAAGCAGCTGGATAGTCACAGTGTCTCTGAACTTCACCTCTAGCATCTCCAACGCACTCCGAGCCCTCAGGAGCGACGCGAAGCATCCATACATGCTATTCCATCTTGTTTCGCACATCTGCTTCAAGTGTAGCTTGTAGCCGTAGGTATCTCTCATACACATTCAACTCGCCACTTGGCTGACGATGCATTCAGGGCGTTGACCGCATCCGACGCTTGGTGACTTAGGCGTAGTCGGACTTGAGTACGGCCTTCACCATATTATTCAAATCGTGCGTAAAACAATTACGAAAGCAATGTCAGGCCAACGGATGCTCAATATTCTCCGAACTCAACCGCACTGTCCCGCATTATCAGTAACCACAGCTTCAATTCTCCAGCCGTCCTTCTGCATGTTGAGCATCACCCCCTCCATTTGCTCGGCGATGGCGACACCATCATGCCGGGAACCGGTGGCAAAAAAGCCCGTAGACTAATACAAAGCCGAACAAAGCCAGCTGACATGTGCACGTGCGATGTTCTGCCATACGTCAGACAGAAAGCTAACACGACCATCAGTGTTGTCTTGGTACTTTCTAAGTGTTGAATTTTCATGGGTTTCACAAGCCAATGCGTATCCATCAAGAATTGGCCCACCTGATGTCTTGCGCCATGGGTGGGGATCAACACTACCACTCATTTTGTTTGCGTAACGAAGAAGACAAGCCGTTGACTGGTGCTCAATAGAAATGTCGGGCAAGTTGCTGTCTGCTTGGAATTCAAAAGGTAGACGCTCCAAAACTTTAGTATCGTTTCTTGAAATTTTTCAGCATAGAATTCGTCAATCCGTTTCTGTCGTTTTGGCTTTAGCTGCTGAATTAACGCGTCGTAATCGGAGGCTAAGCGCTGCGCTGTCGCCACCCTGCCATCATCGCCTGCTTCATGATTAAATCTAGTCGGATCCAAAGCGTCAGTGCTAGTGAAAGCAACAAATCTATTACAGCGTTTTAGATGGCTCTTGAAGTTCTCGATCCTTCCTTTTATTCTCCTCGGTTCAGGTAGACTGTACGTCGCATAAGGCTGCCTGGAGCCCTTCTTTTCTTGGTCGCAATGCTTGCAAACGTGCCACGAGCGGCCGTTCCAGCAATCAATTTCAAGATTTACAATCGCCAAGCGTTCTTCACTCGCGGGATGCCCCATACGCGGCAGGTGTTCTGTTTCTGCTCTCACGCAGAACGACAGTTTATTTGGAGAGGAGAGGGTATCTAAGACTGAGAAAAGAGAGTTCGTGCGATGAGTGTGGATTGTGCTAAAATACCATCATCAAGACCGGTATGTCTCCCTCGATACTAGTACTACTACTGACCGCTGTGCTCTTTTGTCAACTCTAAACCTGGTCTGTTCAAAAACCAGCCCTCGACCAGGTGGTCCATGGTCGAACTGGTTTTTTGACTGGATTAAACCATGGTTTTTGTTAAACCAGTAAAACCAAAAACCAAAATCCAGCCAACACTGCCTCTACTGCTGGTATTCAGTACTGAAGAAATCGCACTTTGTCAAAGAAGTAAGGTACAGCTGA